CTCTAGTTGAAATAGAAGTTCATCAAACCCTGTAATGAGGTAGTTTGTTTATAGTTCATAGGTAATTTAACCTTACTTTTTCTTTTTTCCAGTTTACTTTAAGAAAAATGTTTCTGGAGTAGTGGTGCGTGCCATCAACTTCAAATAAGGTTATCATCTTAGAGGAAGCAAGCATTCCAAGCAAACCTGAGGAGCCAAGACAGTAAGACGGTTGCTATTAATCTCTTTCTTTCTCCTTCCTTGGTATATGTACAAGCCTGTCTCTTTATAGAAATTCCTTTCTTTATTTGTCAAAAGTATGCTGCTTAGTGAGGTTTGGGGATCTATCCTCTGTTTCTCAGTAGTTAAAGTGACTCCAATCTTTGGCAACATAACTCCACTCCATCATACTTTCAAGATTAGCCAAATGCAATCTTCATTCAACAAGAGAAATGGCAAGGCTATCCAGCACTCTCCTAAATTAGTTGATGAAAATTAACCCATCTGTATTGTCACTAACTCCCAAAAGATCTTTTTAGGTCAATCAAATCCAGTTATCCTCTAACAACCACCATTTATCGATGAACTTTATAATTCCTCCTACATTAACCTAAATTCTTTCATGGGCTTCATACACCAATTATCCAACATTATTCAGCTTAGATGAACCTCATAACAGCTAGTGTGAGTATTATCCAACCACAAACAAGAAAATGATTTGGTGAACTAAATAGAGAGCCAACCAAATTTACATGTGGAAGCAATAAGAATGTAGTACCACTAAACAAAAAAGGCAAGCACCATCGCATTCAAGCACCCAAAAATCCTACATTAATGTGTTACCTGTTGCACATAGCAAGCAACCTCCAAGTGCACGCCAGGCCTTAGTCGAGTTCCTCTTGAAGAAGTAATAAATGTGAACAGGATTAAATGCCCTCAAGACACTGCTATCATATTTAACAAGGTTATAAATCCCAATGGCTGCAAGAGAACAAAACCATATGAATAAAGCAGGGCCTACAACAAGTCCAACTTTACTGGTCCCAAACTTCTGTACACTGAACAAAATTACAAGAAATGCAACCGAAATCATCACCACTTGCTCTGCACAAAACAAACAAAATAATTAACTCAATATTATAGCTAGTTTTCCGCAACAAAAAGAATACAAAAGGCAAGGACATTTAAATTTACCAAAGTAGTAGAAGGCATGCAAGGTTTGCTAATTTGATTGCAGTCAAACTAATTTCAAAAAGGAAGTGGTTTCAATCATTTTCCAAGAAAATATTTTCCAAAACCTGGAACATGCAAGAAATTTCTTTCTTCCTTTTTTTTTTGGCAGTGAGGAGGGGGGCTAGCGTAAACTGTTGCCCAACAAAATTCATCCATGGTGTAAATTCAAATTGATGATCTATTAGGAAAGTTCACCCATGCCCAAACTGAACCAGTGTCTTGATTCATGCCCAAGCTGAGCACTACAATCATGAAGTTGCAGAGGGCATTAGCATAGAGAAAAAAACTCATTCTCCTAGTTGCTACTAGGTACTAAGACAAGTGCAAAATTGGGTGCATAAATCAGCTCCGATAGTATCAAGCGCTTTCTGAACCATATAACCAGCAACTGATCTTGCACAATTTTGCTATATAAACTATCCACACAACAACAGCTAATTCCTGCACCATCTTTTGATGCTGGGTTGGCATGTATTCCAAATTATTGGATCACTCGTGCTAGATAAAAAGGAATTGAGGTGTTAAGACATTCTATGTTCATATAATTTACAAAACAACCAAAAAAAACCCTTCTTCCCAGTCTACTTTTTTCTGGCATTCAAACACTAAATATACAACCCAAGCTTCTATCATTCAATGCACAATCTGATTACAAACCCCATCTAGGATTAACCTATCTTAGATCTCCTATAAATTACACAACAAACAAGTTTTTAGGTTATCAAAGTTACGATTATTTATTAATTAATTAATTTGACAGCAGTCCAGGTTAAAATATCCTGCTGCCCAGATCCAGAACCCAACTTCCAAACCAAAAGAATAATTCATGAATAAAAAGTTAAGAAGAAACCCTATCTCTAATGAAAAAAAATTGATAGACAGAATGTTAGATCACCTTGTTTAATTGAAGTTACTCCAACCTTTAGGCCACCAACAGCAGACATTACTGCATTAAGACAGACAACGATACCTGGGTCACTCACAAGGTACTAGCTACTAGGAATCAAAGAAAAATACAGCAAACATGGTCTACAAAAAAAAATCAGTACAAGAAAAAATCTAAAATAACTTTTTTGCTCATATAAGCCATGACTTAATTATAATAAACTCCAAAAACAGACCTGACATGGCGGGGGTAACAACCCCATCAGCAATCAACATAGAGGTACCAGCAAGCACTAGCATGAGAAGCATTCTTTTGAGATGGGGTGATGTCTCAAGTCTCTCCTTTATTTTCAAGGATCTCTCAAGTTCTGCTGAGGGCACCTTGAGCCTGAAGCTAGATATACGAGCATCGGAAGGAAGCTGATTGGGGAGAAGATTGACCTTAGCATGGCGACAAATCAAAGAGTACAGCGCAAAAGTGCCACCTGCAATGCAGTAAATATAACATGCAGTACAATGGTTACAAGCCATAATCAGTAACTAACCAGAGAGGCAAGCAATAATAACTAATAACCAGTACCTTCGCCGTCATCATTGGCCCAAAGAACAACAAGTACATACTTGACAAGGGGAATCAATATCAAAGTATACAAAACCAAAGACAATGCACCGATGACATCTTCTTCCCCATTAACAGGTGCTTTGTTAAATATAACATGGAAGGTATACAAAGGACTTGTCCCAACATCACCAAATACAACTCCCAGCGTTTGAAATGCAAGTATTATTCTCCTTCCCACGCCCAATTCCTGCCACGCATTTTCCATTTCCAGATCAATTTTTTTTCCTTTTTTCACTTGTCAAATTCAATCAAAGGATAAATAAATACATGTTTTCACTTTCACCTCGTAGAAGTAGTCGTTGCGGTGGGCGCTGGGGATCTCTAGGGCTTCGACATCGAAAGAGTCGATGCGGGGACCAGTTCGGATCAGCCGCTGCTCGGCCGTGTCCTCCTCGTCTTCCTCCTCAGAGTCTAATCCACCACCGCGCCGCAGTTGACTATGTTCGTCGTCGTCGTCGTCGTCCATCAGTGAATCGTCATCGTCATCGTCGTCGTCTTGAAACACCCACCGTGACTCCACCGAGTCCATCGACGCTAGTCGACTCTCGGATCTGCCAATGCCGTTCTCGTCTGCCATTACAATTCGGATTCTGCTAGGATTTCAGAATCCGATCGATTGGGTGACGAATATTTGGTCTGTGCGTCCTTTTGTTTTCTAGTTTTTTTCTCTTTCTTTTTTTCCGATGGTTTTTCTATATCGCCCGAGGATCCATCAGTCGGTTTGAATTAAAAATCTGGTCATCCGGGTCAAAATGGACCCTAATGAATCCAAGCGATCTAATCTGGCATGAGTTTTCCTACACGTGATGTAAAATTTGCATAAGATAACCCATTTCTCAGAAAAAAAATAGCATAAAATATTTAAGATAAATAATATTAAATTAGTAAATATTTTATAATGGTGACACATAACAAATAACCTGTTATTTTTTATTTTAGTTGAAAAAAATTAAAATACATAAAATAAAAATCTCTAAATTAAAAAACAATAATAATTCAAAAAACAGGATTTTTCCTTGTTTTAGTTACTCAAAATAAACATAAAAATTTTTAGATAAACAGTATTAAATTATTAAATATTTTACAAGAGCAACAAAGAACCCCATGACATATTATCTTCCTTCTTTCAGCTGAAAAAAATGAAATACATGAAATAAAAACTTTTAAATAATAAAAAAATAATAAATTAAAAAACAGACAATAATAAATGAAATTAACAATAACACTTATATGTTTTCTTGCATTAGTTACATAAAATACTTTTAAATAAAAAAATATCACATTGCTAAATATTTTATAAGAATAACAAAGAACCCAACAACCTGTTATTTTTTTTATTTTAGTTGAAAAATATAAAATAAATAAAGTAAAAATTTGTAAACATTAACGGTTTAAAAAATAGACAGTAATATTTAAAATTTGATAATAATATTTGTATTTTTTTATTTTTAATAATAAATTTATGTAAATATTTATTTAGGGTTCAAAATTAATTGTATTATTTTTAATTTTTTTGTGCTCACTTCATTGCTACAAATGATTGAATGTAGTGTTCTTTATACTCATAATAATTCTGCAATTTTATTATTCTACTTATTAATTTGCATGTTAATATTCATACAAAATATCTTTATCCCATTAAATTATACACAAAACTCATGTTTTTTTTTCATTCTGAAGACAATTTTTTTAAAAAAAATTAAAATTATTTTATTTTTTTCTTACTTTAAATTCATATTTATTTAGTGATTTTAGATTACTTTAATTCACTAATTTTAAAAATAACTTTTAAAAATAAAATAATATTAATTTAATATATTTTTAAATAAAAATATTATAAAAAACAACCATAACAAAACTCTCAATCAATCCATAAACCATTCTTATTTTGTTCAAGATGGCTTCCCATCGCATGATCCGATAGAAGAAGATAAATTCTTCCACCGAAAGCAGCCAAATTTGTTATCATGACTAAATAAGTCAATGAAAAATTGAATGGTGGCATTTTTTTTTATTAATATTAGTTTTAAAGAATTATCTCAAATAATCCTATAAATTTTAAAATTAATAAATATATAAATCTTCAATAAATAAAAATTATTGCATCATGAGTTGAGAAGTTTCAAAACTTATTGCCAGGGCAAAAAAATTTGTAACGGTCGGGGACGATTAGAACTTCGGTTTTCTCAAAACAACTCAACAGAAGCATATAAAACTCACAAGCTTGGACACAAAATTTCTCATATAACTGGGAAAGAAACTTTAGAAAAATCAAATACGAGCTTCGGTTCAATCACAGCAAGAACATTCATTCATATAACGCGTGCAGCAGCAAGGCCTTGGGGAAAGCAGAAAACCGTCATGCTTATCCATGCATGTTCAATAAAATTCAATATGTTTTTATCTGGAGCACATGCTTAACCAGCTCTAAGAACAATATAACTGTACTTTAGAATTCTGAAAATGGGAATTCTAAGCATGAACTGGAAAACCCAATGTAATCTCATCAAAGCTTGCCACTGCCCTGAAAAACACCATTAATCCAAAGTATCAGATGATGCTCAGTATCTGTTTCTAATAAAAGAAAACCTGCACAAAAATGCTTGACAACCAGCCATATCTCAAAAATTTGTCAATTTAAATAAGAAATGTGTGAAAACAAACGACTGCATATACATAGCAAGCCTGTGACAGCCATACCTTAGAGCAAGAGCTAACATATACACGGTTTTGAATAATGAATGTGCCCATCAAGAAGAACATACATTTCGTCCATGTCAGAATGCTCATTTTCCCGCTTAAAACTACAGTACCATTTTTACTTGGGCATAAGATTAAGTTTCTGTACGCGTGTTCATTGACTAAACTCCATCAAGCAACTAAATATATCGCAGGCAGTAGGGCTAGGGCTTGTTAAAGTCATGATTTCAAACTGTATTTAGGATTACAGTAAACCAATACATCATCAGTGTAGACATAATGAAGTGAAATAAAAACAGACTTCCTCCACCCCAAATGAAGGAGAAAATTGAAGTGATCCAAATAACGTGTTTTTGTGATGTTAAGATGCAGTTTGCAAACACATCAGGCAAACACAATTCCTACCAAAAGTAAGATAGAAAGGATTGGAAAGTATATTTCACAAATGACTAATTTAAATACTCCCAAGAACAAAATATTGAAGATCACCGCTCCTAAATTGACAAGGAATCCAATTCAGTTATAGAGTAACAGCAGGTTCATGCATAAGCCAATGTCATGCTTGAAGTTGAAGACAAAACTAATTTCAACTGAACTCCTATAAATATAAAAACTTCCAGCAATGTAGCGCGTTTAAATTTATCGAACTACTCTTCCTAAGAATCTTAGATGCAAGAACAAATGCATTTCTCCCAACATTAGAATCATTAATTTTTTGTCAGAAAATGCACAAAGAAATAGCTTAATGAAAAAGCAACATCATCTTACCATTTTTCTAATTATTCTTGTTTTTCATGTCTCTCTTGATCTGAATCCTCTCTTCTTGGAAGTTCAAGTCTCTCTTCATCTTCATGCTCTCTTCTTGGAAGTTTAATACGTTTGATAATGCTAGGATACTGCATACCACGTAAATTAGCAGGCGTCAGAGGCTTCCTTTTCCCTATTCTTCTAGAATAAACATTGAATGAACCACTCTGCCTCAATGTTGCTTCTGGCGCAGGTACTGTTATTGTTGTAAGACAAGAAAAATCATGAGAATCAAACATGAAGAAAGATGAAACAATCGAGTATGACAATATATTGGGAAAATAAAAAATAAAAAACAAAGTAAGAACAAAAACCTGGATAAATGGATGATACTGGTGCCAGAAATACAGAAGAGGATGTGGGACCGCCTGCAACACGTGTTGATTTCATAACACAAGTAAATCAAGTTAGAATATTACTATGATCGGGATGGGATATGTAACTTAAAGTCGCAAAAATCATACATAAAACGTCATGAACAGAAGCAGCAGGAGGAGGGAAGCTGGAACCACCACCAGCACCCATGTTGTTGACAGCTTCATTGTGCAAAATAGAAGACGTGCATGCTGGTTCTGGTGTTGCAAGCCAAGAAAAACGACAATCAAACATAAATGCATAAGTAAAGCATAATCAGGTGCGAGTGTATATTAGAAAAATAATTAAAAAAGGTTAAAGAATAAAAAATTATAACAAAGTAAAAATACTTTGAGAACCGCGCAGTGTGCAGGGACGAGAGGGGTTTTTTATGAACGAAGAGGGTGAGAGGGATTTCCAATAAAATAATTTTTCCTGCATCTCCGGTATTCAATATACTCAAAAAATTCATCTTCCTTCCAATTTATACCTTTAGTTTCCCTACACCTCGTTTTGAACATTATTTTTTACAAATCTTTCAAATTTAATCTAACCTCCGTTAATCCAAACTGCTAATAACATAAATCAACTCGACATGTAAAACACTCATTAAAACAAACGAGAAGTGTTCTGCACATCGATATTGACAACTGGTTATTCAAATATGAAGGCAATTCGATGCCTTCATATAGCTTCCATTAAACTTATAAGAAGAACAATCCTATAAAAAAATTTACATGTAAAACAATCATTAAATCAATTTCTATACATATAATGTTTAGCTGATCTTCCTACACCTTATTTAAAAATCTAGAATAGTCGCTTGATGATTTCTTTTTATGAAAATCTCGAGATACCATAGAAGTTGTCCAACTCACTAAGAGAGGAAACTCATCGTCTTTGGCAAGTCTTGTGCCTTGATTTACCACACTTGCCAAAGATGGAAGATGTGCCAAGGTAAAGATCTACATGAAAGGACAAAACATTAATACAAATTTTAGAAAAAGACAAAACGTTAGTTACTTACATGAATTACAAGGACAAAACATTAATACATATTTCAAAAAAAGACAAAATGTTATTTCCTTATATGAATACAAGGTTGTTCCAAGACTAGTGCACATGACATCCGTTAGATAATCCAGGCTCATTAAACGCCTGTTAGTCGAGTCTGGCATGAGCTCAACGTGTAAATAATTTTTGTAAAATTGAGGATAGAAAAGAATAAAAACTAATAGAAAAGGTAAGTTATATGTTTTCAAAAAAATCACTAAACAATAATCAATAAAGGAGTCCCTGACATGAATTAATTGTGTAGTCTCACTAAACACATTAGATTCGAGTCTAACTTGAGTGCAAGTAAGGTGTACATTTCCATTTAACTTGTATCATGTAGTCGTTCAAAATCTACAACACAATTTTAGTTCAATATAATTGTGTTATTTCAAGTGATACCTGTTGTGGTATCTCTTTGATGTTAAATATCATCTCAATGATGTAAAGAACAATAATTCCACAGTTCTGCCTATATGTGTTGTTCTATATCTAACTCACGACAAAACATAGATCAAGTATCTAGTAAAAACTCATTAATAATCTATGCTAAAAACATCTCTATATGTTTCATCTATCACCTCCATTCCATTGCAGCTTTCATCCCATCAACTCTGAAACTTTCTATTCTTCAATAGTCGAGGTCTTGCAACTTTTCCTTTAACCTAATAAATTTCATATATTATTCCCTATTTTTTTTCATTCACAATGACTAAGCAACACAACTATAATAATAGAAGAGTACAATTAGTAAATCTAGGGCAACGAGTAATAAATTTAATATAAAAAATTCAACTATAAAAAAAAATATTGAAGTTTTAATAAGTCAAGTATGTTTATAACGGTCAATGTCAATGGTAACTTTAACGATAATTTAAAAAAGTTATCTTGATTGCAGTTACAAATAAAGTTGAAGTTTGAAAAAATTGATTGTCAAACAAATAACTTTGTAAGCAAAGAATCTGGACTGGTAAAAAATATATATGTTAAAGTTTGCCAAGTCAAACATATCACTTTTACTATCAATTTTATCAAAGAAAAATGTTATTTATCTCAATCTAAGTTTAGTCGTGACAGAATGATGTCTTTTCTAATTTCATCTCATTTGAATTTAAATTATATCATTTTTAAATGAAAGAATCTACTTCTAGCTTTCTACCACTTTTACTACAAGAAAATATACAATTTGTTTTTATAATGCCAAGCATAATATAATCGATAAATAATGTTTGATAAAAAGACATGTGGCAGTCCTACTTGAGAAATGTTTTAGGGGCATGTCATTGCAGACATTCACGAAACAAAAGTAGATTGTTGTTACATCTCTTCTATTGGCAAGTTATTTATGTTACTGTAATTTTACTTCTATTAATTGATGAATTTGTTTTTATTGTTTACTAGTGTAAATCTTAATTTTATATATAATCCAGATAAAACAATATATTTGTTATTAATTTTCAAAAATTCATGCGAATTTGATAGTAACAGATGAAATTTGTTTTCAAATGATTATATATAATATCATCAAATTTATTTAAGTACAAATAAACAGATAGTAAATTAGGTATAAAAATATGTTTTAGGATCAATTATATAAATTCGAATAATTTTATTAGCTAGTAACAATTAAAAAGAGAGATAATAACAAATAAGATTTAATAATAAAGCTTTCCCCCCCCCCTTTCTTTTAGTTATATAAAACAACTTAGTATAAATTCAGAATAAAACTATATTAGAATTAGCAATGAAGAAGAGCCCTTACCTTTGATTTGCTCTTCAACTTCATTCCTTAAATTCTAATTTAGTTGCTAATGTTTAACCTTTCAATTTCAATTAAAGAACTTTAAAGAGCACTTCAATGGAATTCAAATTATCTATCTCAATTCAGTAGTCAAGCTCGACTCGAGTGCAATATTTTAATAATTTAACCATTCAAATTTAAATTATCTATCTCTCTCATTAAGTGTGAGGTTGAAACTAAAAATTTAAACATCAACAATTAAATTGAAGCCTAAGGAATGGATTAAAAAGCAAATTAAAGATTAGTGTTAGGGTTCTTCTTTATTGCTGATTCGAATTTAGTTTTGTTATGAATTTATATAATAGCATAAACACCAAACTGAAATCAACTTCTATAGTCAGATTTCTTATGTTTAGTTGTTTTATATAACTAAAACAAGAAAAAAAAAGTTTTACTGTAAAATTTCATACGTTAGTAGCTAATAAAATTACTCGAATTTATATAATTGACCCTAAGACATATTTTTATACCTAATTTACTATATCTATTTATACCTAAATAAATTTGATGATATTATATGTAATCATTTGAAAACAAATTTTATCTAATATTATCAAATTCAAATGAGATTTCAAAAAATAATGAAAAAATATAGTTTTATCTTGATTATATGTAAAATTAAAATTTATACCAATGGACAATAAAAATAAATTCATTAATTAATAGAAGCAAAATTGCAGCAACATAAACAACTTGCTAATAGTAAATAGCAACAACTTACTCTTGTTCCGAGAATGTCTAGAATGACATGCCCCTATGACATTTCTCGGGTAGGACTGCCACATGTTCTCTTATCAAACATTTTTCATTGGTTACGTTAAGCTCGACATTATAAAAACAAATCATACCTTTTCTTGCAGTAAAAGTAGTAGAAAACGAGGAACAACTTCTTTCATTTAAAAATAATATAATTTGAATTCAAATAAACTAAAATTAAAAAAAATATCACTCTGTCGAGACATAATTTAAATTGAGATAAAAAACATTATCCCTAAAGTATGCAACAATAAGATAACCCATAAAAAAAAAGTGGTTTACCTAGAAGCAGGCCAACTTGCTAAGAATTCATACTTTTATTTCAGCTAAGAAAAGTTGAAGAATTAGAAGATCAATAGTGTTAGGGTTGTAATAGTAACAAAATCAAGGAAGTTTTTGTACAAAAAATTAGCTGAAGTGTTTCTTAATATTATCTTTTACTCTTTATCAAGGTCTTAACACAACTAAATAAAATATTTAATATATAAGACAAAAGGTTTAGAATGTACTAAAACAATGCGATCATATATGTAAATAAAGGTAAACGATCATACATAAATTATATTAAAAGCTCAACAAAAAGAAAATAACGTATCATGTTCCTTTACACCGATGATTCTGATATAAAACCCTAACACTATAAAGTAATAAGAGAAAAAATCTATGATATTTTTATAACAATTATTCAAGCTATTATGCATCTAGACTTGTAAATTGTTACCTGATATAAGTCCAACTTGCTGTAGGCCTACAACAATAAAGCAAAGCCTCATCTTCACTAATCAGCTCTGATATTAGATGATGTATTGTAAATGATTTGAAAATCAGCAACAACAAATCTGACAAAAGTAGATGAAAAATGAGTCTAGTTGGTTGTCTTTCTTATGATGTTTAGGCTGAATTATAGTGATTTTAAAGTAAATAAGATGAAGGATAGACTAGAGTTATATTTTGATAAGTCGATCTAGACGCCACAAACATCAATCTAGGATTTTAACGTCACACTCTTTGTGATTAAAGAGTGATAAGTCCAGTAGGATTCTTCACAAATCAATTTGCAAGAACAACTCTTAATTCTTTGAATTAAGTTTCAAATCTTGGTCAAAAGTTTCAGCCTAAAAATTAGACTTTGACAAAATAACTAGACAAATTAAACCAGCACACATTTTCTGACTTTAATTGAAACATAAAAAGATCAAATTTAAAATGGTTATAACTTCTTGTACAAAAGTCCAATTGAATCATGGTTGGACCACAATGGATAACTTCAAATTCAGGTTCAATTTCATTTACTGTTCTTATTTGCATTATCAACCCAAATTCCTTCACTTATTTGCATTATCAACCCAAATTCATGTAATACAACATCAAAAAAAAACCATTAAGAGCTCTTCTCATCTCTAAGTTCCACTTGTAGGCAAATATTAACTTATTTGCATTATCAACCCAAATTTATGTAGCACAACATAAAAAAAAAAAACCATTAAGAGCTCTTCCCATCTCTAAGTTCCACTTGTAGGCAAATAAGCACCTTCGAACCAATTTCAAACTAATTGCTAATTTTTAACTCTGACGCAGCTTCAATCATTCCAATTTAACTCATCAAGGCCCTTTGTAGTTGTTTTGCTCTCGCTCTTGTAATTGGACCATCTGAATCCTCTTGCATATTAAATTTAGCTTTACGAGATGAATTATTATTCCTATAATGCACATTATCAGCCCCAAGTTGATAATGATTTGTCCTCAAATCTTGTCATTGGACCATCTGAATCCTCTTGCATATTAAATTTAGCTTTATAAGATGAATTATCATTCCTATAATGCACATTATCAGCCCCAGGTTGATAATGATTTGTCCTCGAATCATAATCATCATCATCATCCAAGTATGGAGTCAAGTCTTTCATATTAAAAGTAGCTGATACATTGTAATCACCAGGAAGATATACCTTATACGTATTATTATTCACCTTCTCTATAATCCGAAATAGATCATCAGCTTTTGGCATCAACTTGGACTTGCGTTTGCTCGGAAATCTTCTCTTACTAAAATGAATCCAAACAAGATCGTAGTGTGCATGGGGCTACAAAATTTTCACCATTTGAGGTTGTGTATGACTTTAACCCTTGTGCTCCTATTGGTCTTGGTCATATTCCAATTGATAAGAGGGCATCTATAGATGGAATTGGGAAGGCAAAATTAATGAAGAAACTACATGAGTAGGTTTGATTACATATTTGCCTACAAGTAGAACTTAGAGATGGGAAAAGCCCTTAATGGTTCTTTTAATGCTGGACTACATGAATTTTGATTGATAATGCAAATAAGTTAAGGAATTGATATTGTTTACATTAGAACAGTAGATGAAATTGAACCTGAATTTGAAGTCATCTATTACATGTGAAAACAAGACTAATCTATGT